ATCAGTAAAAAGCAACAGAGGGTCCTGTGGCACCTTTAAGACTAACAGAAGTATTGAAGCATAAGCTTTCGTGAGTGAATGCCCACTTCATCAGACGCAAGACGTCTGATGAAGTGGGCATTCACCCACGAAAGTTTATGCTTCAATACTTCTGTTAGTCTTAAAGGTGCCACAGAACCCTCTAGAGTTCCAGTTAATGACACATTAAACATAGCGATCCCTGCCTATACTGACTGCAAAGCTGTGTTTAGCATCATGTTAATTAACCCAACTCCTCATGGTCATATTCTAGCACAACCTAATTTTCCAGTAAAGATAAGCCTTTTGAAAGATTGGAGTTATTGCTGTAATAATGGGACTATGCTTGTCGTCTAAGACAGAACTATTCTTTAAATAATGGATGTTGGTCTTCCATATTTAGATACTTAGATACCATGGTAATGACAGCCATATAATAGATTGTAGTATTTGCACTCCTTAGACCCATTTCCCAAAAAGTCACAAAAACCAATTCTCTAGAATTTCTGATATGTGAGCTGTGCAAAATATTTATTTAGGGTTTTTTGTGTGGATTGCTATTGGAAGTTTATAATTCACTTTTGCCATGGATGACAGTCTGATAAAACACCTTAGATCACCAGTAAAGAAATCATATACACACTTACAATGAAAGAACCAGCATCCAAAATTCAATTTCTAAATAACCATTGTTTGAGAAGGAGAGAGTTTTTATTAACTCCTTTCATTCAATTTACCATCAGTGACCACAGCAATCAAAGTGGGTTACTGACACCTAAAAACAGAGGGTGAAATCCTGGCTCCATAGAAATCAATGGGAATTTTGCCACTGATTTCAATACAGCCAGGATTTCACTCACCTAATCTTACGATTCCATTTGGAAGGGGACAAATTTTTAATCTTATTTGATGTGACTAGCTATTTTTAATATAATATTTTACATTTATATTGCAGGTTTTATTTGGAAAGATCTCAAGAGTGCTTCCCTAACTGTGGTTAGGGAAACAACTTCTTCTCATGCAGTTTCCAAAATACTCCATCCATTATTGGACAAGGCTGTCCTAACTGAGAAGGGGCAGAGGGTTAAACTGCAGAATGCTTGGGTGTTGGAGGATCTGCCAGAGACCAGAGCTCTCTTTACAGATCACAATCTTGTCTTTTTGTTGCTGTTTCTTTTGCCTGTTCTCACTTTCAGGTGACACTGTAAATAAGAAGCCAGCAGCAGAATCGCCTATCAATGTAAACAAATGTTTTTGTCTTAGTGATTAGCTGAACAAGAAGTAGGACTGATTGGACTTGTAGGCTCTAAAGTTTTACACAGTTTTGTTTTTGAGTGCAGTTATGTAACCAAAAAAAAATCTGCATTTGTAAGTTATACTTTCAAGATAAAGAGATTGCACTACAGTACTTGTATGAGATCGATTGAAAAATACTATTTCTTTTATCATTTTACAGTGCATATATTTGTAATAAAAATAATAATATAAAGTGAGCACTATGCACTTTGTATTCTGTGTTGTAATTGAAATCAATATTAAAAATGTAGAAAAACATCCAAAATATTGAATACATTTCAATTGGTATTTTATTGTTATAAGTATCATTAATGGATTCATTTTTTGAGTTAAGTGTGTGGGTTAGCTGTGATTGACAGCCTTAATATTTAGTATTCATTATTATTATTTATACAGCCCCAGTGATGTGCCTGGTGCACTAGGGGTCGGGTGGAAGACGCATGTCTAGATGGCAACAGGACGTAGGAGGATTTGAAGCAAGGTCTCCTAAATTGCAATCCTGGCTCTACCCCTCATTGGAGATGTAACCGTGAACATGTCTGTCTTCCCACATCTGCAAAGGGGAATGATTCCATCTACCTCAAGGACCAGCGAGCACATAAGGCTTTTAAAATATAAAGCTCGCTCTAAGCCTTCTGGGGGGCCAGGTCCCTGGGTGCTGGCTCCGGATCAGCTCAGGGGCGCTCGGACAGGGATTTTGACTGGAGCCAGCTGATCTATTTCTCCGCGGGCAACAAGCTTAACCGAAGTGAAGGGGAGACTCACACAATCGCGGTTTCCATTGTTTTCGCCTAAAGACCTGCAACTGTTGCCCCCCTTCTCGGCCATCTGCTGCATGTCGAAGATGCAGAGCGCGGTGGAGTCCCAGCGCCGCTCGCCCGGCTCGGCGCTGAAGACCCCGGCCCACAAGCCCGCCTGCTCCAGGAGGCTGGAGGAGAGCAGGGTGCTGCGGGCGCCGCAGTCCAGGCGTAGCTCGCCTACGAGGCTGATGTGGTCCTTCTGGCACTTCAGCACGGCCACGCTGGGCTGCGGCGCCGCCTGGTGGTCCTCCGGGGGTAAGGGGTAGTAGGGGAAGAAGAGGTGCTCGCCCCACAGGAAGGCGTCCACGAAGTGTAGTGGGGGCCCTTTGGCGGGGCGCTTCAGCGTCGCAAAATACTTCTCGGCCAGGCTCATCTCCGGCAGGCTGCGCACGGTGAGCACCGTGTTGGCGTCCGAGGCCGAGGGAACGCAGCTCAGATCGGAGTCGGACTGATTGGACAGCGAGTAGGCAGCGGCCAGCGCCAGCAAGCGGAGGCCGGGCTGCAGCGCGAAGAGCACCCCGCTGGTGGAGCCCTGCGGCAGGCAGCTCACCACCTCGGTCTGGTTGGTCAGCACCGTCAGGTTGCCCAGGAACCGCACCTGGCAGCTGCCGTGGTACAGGGTCCAGCCGGTGAGCAGGCGGCCGCCCTCCAGGTCGGGCAGCAGCAGCTTGTTGTGGGTGCCCGCCGGCTGCGCGCAGTCCTGCGCCCCCGCCGCGTGCGCCAGGTGCAGCAGGCTCAGGGACCGGTTCAGCTTGTAGATGCAGTTGCCGCCCGCCAGCAGGAGGCTGTCCCCGCTCGCCGCGATGTTGTCGATGGGCACGGGCAGGGTGTAGTGCGGCTGGCACACGACGACCCCGGCCCCAACCAGGGCGATCAGCAGCGCCCAGGGCAGCGGGGGCGCGGCGGGGCCGGGGCGCCGGGAGTCCTTCTTCCTGCACGGCCCCATGGGCATGGCCAGCTCCTCCATCGGCTCAGCGGCTGCTCTAGCTGCCTGGCGGCGGCAGCTGCCCCATGCTGTGCTGCGGGGCGGCAGAGGCGCTGTGTCGTTCAGCCCCGGCTTCCTCCGTCTGGCTGCGGCGATGGGAAGTTCCTCTCCGGGAGGCTGGGCTGGGCTCCTGGGTGGGGGTTTGGGCCTTATACTTGTTCTTGCGCAAGTTTCCTTCCCCAGCCACCCCACGCTCTGCGCCCTCCAGGATCCAGCGGGCTGGGGCCGCAGCCACTTGCCCAGCTTTGTTCCTGGGTGCACTGCAAAACCAACGCTGGGCTCCTGCTGAGAGTGAAACATCCGACAGCCTCTCCGCCTAGATGGGAGTAAAGCACCCTGTGCGCCATGCAGGCTTTGGCAGGCTTCTTGGAGGTGCCATGAGAGCATGGCTGGGGCCCACTTGGACTAGGGTGACCAGATAGTAAGTGTGGAAAATCAGGAGTTTTGGGCGGGAGGTGGAGGGAAAGGGGGTATAGTTGCATATATAAGACAAAGCGACTAATATCAGGATGGTCTTGACAATATCGGGATATCTGGTCACCCTAATTTGGACTGCCAGGCTGACACAGGTTTTAAACCTCTTGGGGGGGGGGGGGGAGGGGAGAATAACATTGGAACCAGGGGCCCCACACACAGCTGATTTTCCAGCATAGATGGGACTGTAGCTGTGGCCAGTACAGTGTGTGACTTTCTCTAACCATCTCATCTTTATTACAGAGACCCATCGGGGTTCTCACAACACATTTTTGGTGGCCTCTGAGTGCAGCCACCAACTCTTGCCCGCAACAGCTTTGACAATTTTTCCTAAAATACTTAATTAACTTTAGGAAAAACAAATCAATATACACATATACATGTCCAGTGTAATTTCTTTATATAAGGATTTTATTTGTGCAGACTCAATAATAAAAATAATGTATAGTTGTCTCTATTCTTTACTGGACCTACACAGAATAGAAACAAATAATGTGTTTTGCATGTTCTTGTCCCTTTTTTTTGTTGTTTCTTTTGCTTTTTTGGTTGGTTGTTGTTAGCTCGTAAGTCTGCTGCTGTGAAAAGTGATACCGGTATATTAATATCACTTTTCACAGTCTCCCAGCTAGTTGCAAAGTTTGCTGTGAAAAGTGATATTAACATACAAATATAACTTTTCACAGCAGATTTACTCAGGCACTGCAAGTCTGGGGACAAATTAAGCCCTGGATGGGGAAGCGAGTAGGGAGGCAGCAGGGGCCAGGCACCATGGGGGGAATGAATAGGGGGCCAGGGGAGGGGCTGGATGGGGGCTGAGGGAGACAGTAGGGCCCAGGGGCAATGGGCTGGGTGGGTGAAGGGCCAGAGGCTGCAGTGGGGGCCAGCACCCACCACTGCACAGCCAGGGCCCAACCCAAAGCCCTTTGGCTGGGACCTAAGGCCCAGCGGCTGGCGAAGGCAGCAGGGGCCAAGGGCAATGGGGAAGGAGTGGTGAGACCTAGATATTGGCTTCTTCCTTCTAAGCAAAGCCAGGCTAATTTGGGATTCTTGCTAACATTTATCTCAGTACAGGATGGCCCTTCACATAATGTCATGAAATGAAAACAGTCCATTTTATACAAGCTTGTCTGTCCTCCTGGGAGCTTCAAAATCCACACACTTTGCTAATTTCAAGGAAGCATAAAACTGAGATCCTTCCCACCTGTAGTCATGATAGATCAGTATTTTCATAACAGTAGGATAAAATTAATCCCAGACTCCTGGGTGAACCTTATCTAAATTCCCCTTCTTGATGTGGAATTACATTGAATATTGTGTTTTTTCATTTCCTTTCTTAAGCTGTTGCGCCATGTTGTAGTTAAACAGTTGCTGCAATTCACTCCCCAAAAGGTGGTTGCAGTGATTTTTATTTAGTCTGTTAATAACAATTGCAAAGCCTGTTGTGAGACATTTAGATTTGTCCATCTTTGGGTGGCAGTTGTCAAATTTAGTGCCTCCTTCTGCAAGGTGCTGAGCACTTTGAACTCCCACTACAGCCATGGACACTCAGCACCTCACAGGATCGGGCCTTTAGACTGGATGCTCTTTGAAGCTTACTAGATCATTTCCAGTAAGACTCAGCAAAAGCAGAACCGTGTATTGCATGCTCAGCAATTGGCAGATATTCTGCTTTTGCTGAGTCCTAAGTAAAGATATAATTATGCAAGAAAAGAAACAATATTTTATCAACTTCTCCTGCCCTAGTGGGGCAGACTTTAATGTTGCTGGAGCAGTGTAAAGTGGCCTTAGTGTAAATAAGAATCCATCCCCAAATTTGCAAATAGAAGGTATAATGCCGATATTAGCAGTTTGAATACATACATAGAATATCAGGGTTGGAAGGGACCTCAGGAGGTCATCTAGTCCAACCCCCTGCTCAAAGCAGGACCAATCCCCAACTAAATCATCCCAGCCAGGGCTTTGTCAAGCCTGACCTTAAAAACCTCTAAGGAAGGAGATTCCACCACCTCCCTAGGTAACCCATTCCAGTGCTTCACCACCCTCCCAGTAAAAAAGTTTTTCCTAATATCCAACCTAAACTTCCCTCACTGCAACTTGAAGACCATTACTCCTTGTTCTGTCTTCTGCTACCACTGAGAATAATCTAGATCCATCCTCTTTGGAACCCCCTTTCAGGTAGTTGAAAGCAGCTATCAAATCCCCCCTCATTCGTCTCTTCTGCAGACTAAACAATCCCAGTTCTCTCAAGCCTCTTCTCATAAGTCAAGTGCTCCAGCCCCCTAATCATTTTTGTTCCCCTACGCTGGACTCTTTCCAATTTTTCCACATCCTTGTAGTGTGGGGCCCAAAACTGGACACAGTACTCCAGATGAGGCCTCACCAATATTGAATAGAGGGGAATGATCACATCCCTTGATCTGCTGACAATGCCCCTACTTATACAGCCCAAAATGCTGTTAGCCTTCTTGGCAACAAGGGCACATTGTTGACTGATATCCAGCTTCTCGTCCACTGTGACCCCTAGGTCCTTTTCTGCAGAAATAGCAAATGTACATTTCCTTCCCCAAAATGTAGGCTGCACCCTGCAGCAGTTATTGCTTAAGGCAATTTATTTTTCCCTGGATTTGAAGCAACATTTATTACTGGCACTTTTCCAGTTGCAGCAGTCAGAGTCCATGACATATCCTGTTCCCAAATCCAGAACCCCCAACCATTTATACTACTCCACAGGCAGTGACTTAAAGGGTGTATACAGGCCTTGCACAATGCAGTGAAACAGAACTGCTAAGCAAAGCAGGCTACTTCTGGTGCTACACACTTTCTGAAGATATGCTTTCCTGCACAAGACTGGGTTCTTAGTCAACATGTAAATGAAATAATGTTCAAACCGATCACACTGAAATAGATTGTCCAAGCACAGGAGTCCACTTACTTGGCAGGACAACATAAACTGAACACAGTACACTTGTGCTCCATCTGTTACATTGACTTCCAATTTGTTTCTTAGTGCAATGCAAGATGTTATAATATAAAGCTCTGTATGGTTTAGGTATTGGCTTATGTGACGTCCTAAGACACATGGTCAATTGGCGACTTTAACAGACTCTAGTTTAAATTTTTAGGGCCCTGGCAACAGGCTATATTCAGCAAAAAGTCCACATCTTTGGAAGTTGCTCGCCTTGTAAAGTCACTAAAGCCCCAGGTTTCTGGCTTTCAGGGCAGAGCATATGCAGGAGGAGAAACCAAACTAATTCTCCCCCAAGGTGTACAATGGAATTCATTGGTTGACTGTTTAGAGCTATTTATTAAGAACTAGCATATTCTGGTGACAATTTGTGAAGAAAATTGTGACAAAATAGATTGAAGTCAAATTAGTCAACATTGATCTAAAGAGAAATGTAGAAGGTGTGCTGAATATACTGAAACCTACTTCCATAGCCTTGGACAAACTGCAGAAAGATTGCTGCTGTATTGCTGATGCTGTTGAAATTTGGAAAGAACTTCAAGAGACATTTATTCACACAGTGCATAGTCAACCTGTAGAACTCTTTGCCAGAGGATGTTGTGAAGGCCAAGACTATAACAGGGTTCAAAAAAGAACTAGATAAGTTAATACAGGATAGGTCCATCAATGATTATTAGGCAGGATGGGCAGGGATGGTGTCCCTAGCCTCTGTTTTCCAGAAGCTGGGAATGGGCAACAGGCAGGGCCAAATTAATGCAGGAGCTTTAAGGGCTGCAGCCAAGGGCCTTGGGTTAAGGGGGGTCCCGCAGGCCGGACAGCCCACTGCTTCTTTTCATTAGGCCCATGGCAAGTCTCCGCGCCGTGGGCTGGACACTGGTCCTCGAGCCTCGGTGCCTCCCCCCAGGCTGAAGGTGCGAGTGCTGACTCGCTGATGTGCCCCTGCAGTCCCTGGATGAGGGGCATTCAGGGAATCTCTGTGCGCTGCTCCTGCCCCCAGCGCTGGCTCCACAGCTCACATTGGCCGGGTACCGCAGCCAATGGGAGCTGTGGGGGCAGCACCTGTGGGCACGGGCAGCATGCACCGTGCAGAGCAGCCTGGCCCCTCTGTCTAGGGGCTGGACATGCCAGCCACCTCGGGGAGCAGAGTAGTGAGGAGCCAGGGCAGGCAGGGATCCTGCCTTAGCCCTGCTGCACCACTGACCAAGAGTTGCCCAAGATAAGCGCCTCCTGGCTGGAGCCCACACCCCAACCCCCTACCCCAGCCCGGAGCTCCCTTCTGCACCAAAACTCCCTCCCAGACCCCACATCCCCACCTTCATCCCAACCCCTTGTCCCAGCCTTGAGCCCCCTCCTGCACCCAAACTCCCACCCAAAGCCCACACCCCAAACCTCCTGCTGCACCCAACCAGCTGTCCCATCCCTGGCCCCACTTCAGAGCTCCCCCCAGCTGGAACTGCACCCCCTCCCATGCCCTCTCACACCCCAATCCCCTGCCCCAACTCTGAGCCCACTCCCCCACTCTAAACCCCCAGAAGTCCTACAAAATCTAATAGCCCTAGGCCCACAGGAGAATTAGTCCAGCGCTGGCAATAGGATGGATCACTTGGTGATTACCTGTTCTGTTCATTCCCTCTGAAGCACCTGGCATTGGCCACTGTTGGAAGACAGGATATTGCACTAGATGGACCTTTGGTCTAATCTAGGGTGACCATCCTTCCCGTTTTTAAAGGGGACAGTCCCATTTTGGGGGACTTTTCTTATATTGGCGCATATTACCTCACACCCGCTGACCCGTTTTTTCACAGTTGCTAACTGGTAACCCTAGTCTGACCCAGTATGGCTCTTCTTATGATACTGAAGAAACAAATATCCTACAGCAAAGTTAATTTGCAGGCAGTAAAGAAACAGATGGATCAAGCACTCAATCAATCTCATTTTCTTGCCAATATTCTCAACCCAAAGTACTAAGGTATATGCCTAACTACTGAAGA